AGGGTGGTGGATACTTTTAAAGCATAGTTGTGATGTCATAATGTTATGGTACCATGCAATCTTCCGGCTCATCTTTGCACGAACATTGTATAGTTTGTATGACTAGGCTACTCTAAAAACTGATGGCTTGATACCCCAGTTTTTTTTTTTTTCTTTTTTTGTTAAGTATGACTAATCACACAGCATTACACTGCTATTACCATGTTTGGCAATATAAAGTTTTTTTTCTAAAAATGAAGCTATAGTTTAACACCAAATTGAAATTCATTCCAAAACAATCTGGTTGTCAGAGCGTTTCCATGTAAGCCATTTCTTTATCCAAAAGTTTAGCACTGATCAGGGCTGGGTGTGGCTGGTTAAACTGAACCAGCACTAAAATGGGTTAATCACCTTATTTTATCGTTTAACAAATGATGCCATTCTATTTTCATGTGTTTGGATAGCTTTTTAAAACCATATTATAAAAAAAAAAGACTTCAAAGTTACAAGTCTAGCACTCCTAGTGGCCAAAAGTTACATGGTGTGCATTAAGTTTTAGGAAATATTGAAATATAAAAGGAAAGCAAAAACTGAACAAAAAAGGAGGTAAATGCTCTCTAAAAGCACTGATGATACCTAAAACACTACAGAAGGAAATGGCAGAGTCTGCTCTCTGGGTGGAAACTTTGCTTGAGATATATACACTCATCACTAATATACACAAAAAAAAATCTGGGGTTCAATTAGTTGAATGTTTGCTAGTTTGTGCATCAGATGGTCATAAAACAAGCCGGAAATCCAAAGTGTAATGTGCCTCATCAGATATTTAAAGATGTAGCTTTGACCCATGGTTGGACCCTTTACAATGTTTCTCTCCATGCTTAATCTGTTCCTTTCAGGCTCAAACTGGAAATACCCTCAGACGAAATGCCAAAAAAACATTGGTTCCCACAGATTTTTAACATCAGGCTTGGACCACATCCTCTGCTGAGGAATTATTAGCTCTATATCTACTTAATATTTGGTTTCAAATAAAGCCTCCGACTGTTATCCCTCCATGTAGAACATAATAATAAATCATGAAAGGCTTTTTAGTTGCAAAACTTCAAAAGAAAAAAAAGAGAAAAAGTACTGGAGTAAATCTTGACTAAAAACAATAACACACCCACAGGCACACGCAGAAAGACAAAAGAGAAACGGACGAGTATGGGGATGGAACAAAAACAGGAAATGGGGACTGTGGGTAATCTCTGTGCTGCCGACCAAGCAAATGCACCAGTACACAGAAAGAGGGGATTAGACCCCTGAGTCGAGTCAGTGGGAGTCACTTTTTTGTCAAAATATACATGAGCACACTGATGTCTTCACCAAGAATAAATCCCTCTTCACTTTCTATCAAAACATTCCTTAGATTTAAATAATCAGCACAAAATCTGCTAAAAAAAAAAACATAAGAAAGACAACAAAGAAGCAAGAAAAGGCTTTAAAAAATCAGATCCCCAGAAGAATCTTAATCTTTACAGAAACTTTAAGGAGAGTTTATGACAGAGCCTAAATAAATGGAGAAAATCTCCATTTACTTACTTCTATTTAACTGGCAAATGGTATTTGTAATAAGCTGCAACTCCAAACTTTCCCTTTGTAAATGTGTTGTTTTAGAAAGACCTAAATTGTGCATTTACTGTAATAAAGATTTTTTTTTTTTACTTTCTTCTCAAAGTGCTGTCTGGTCATCGCCTTAGACTGGTGAAGTTAATATGAACCAATATTAGGCTTTAATGTATCAGTCTAAGGCTTTTATTTTGAAATAGGAAAAGAAGAAAGTCTCATTTTTCTCCGTAAGTTGCCAAATAACACTAATGAGACAAATGTTTCCTGATCTCTATAATGGATGAAGAATACTGGGACTGGTAAAATATAAACTGCTAATGTTGCTAAAGTTTGCATCTGTTTCTGAGTTTTCTGTAGATGCTGAATTGGATAATTCTGCACTAAATCCAGATTCCTTAAAACAGAGATTGTGAAACTCAGAAATCTACGCTCTAATTCTAAAAACTAAAAAATACAGTCTTTCTATTCCCCCCTCAACAACCCCCCAAATATGATTGAAAATGCACCCTTTCTCCTTGATGTTTATTTTCCCATAACAGAAGCTTGATGTCATGCAACTACATAGAAGTCAACTGGATCAAATGTAATCAGACCAGCGATAATGGAAACAAGGTTTGATACAAAAAGATTCCAGATCAATATTAAATTAAATGTAATGAAATTGTACCTGAACAATTCTATATGTATTTTTGTCCCTGATTTACCAAAAACAGTATGAAAATACAGATATGCAAGGGCAAAGTAAGTCTGCAACACAAAAAAGCTTGTTTGCTTGTATGAGATGGAAGTTCGAATAGACAAAATAGCAAAGGTTGGATGGTTAACCCTATAATGCCAAATGTGATACATACGGCTTCTGAAATGTTTTGCGTCTGACACCTTTTGCATAATCTAATGGTAAAAACTTTGCTCAAAATCCTATTGTACACAATCAGATATACAGTGGGGCAAAAAAGTATTTAGTCAGCCACCAATAGTGCAAGTTCTCCCACTCAAAAAGATGAGAGAGGCCGATAATTTTCATCATAGATATACCTCAACTATGAGAGACAAAATGAGAAAAAAAAATCCAGAAAATCACATTGTCTGATTTTTAAAGAATTTATCTGCAAAATATGGTGGAAAATAAGTATTTGGTCAGTTACAAACAAGCAAGATTTCTGGCTCTCACAGACCTGTAACTTCTTCTGTAAGAGGCTCCTCTGTCCTCCACTCGTTACCTTCATTAATGGCACCTGTTTGAACCTGTTATCAGTATAAAAGACACCTGTCCACAACCTCAAACAGTCACACTCTAAACTCCACCATGGCCAAAACTAGAGAGCTGTCAAAGAACAACCGAAACAAAATTATAGACCTGCACCAGGCTGGGAAGTCTGAATCTGCAATAGGTAAACAGCTTGGTGTGAAGAAATCAACTGTGGGATCAATTATTAGAAAATGGAAAACATAGAAGACCACTGATAATCTTCCTCGATCTGGGGCTCCACGCAAGATCTCACCCGTTGGATCAAAATGATCACAAGAACGGTGAGTAAAAATCCCAGAACCACACGGGGGGACCTAGTGAATGACCTGCAGAGAGCTGGGACCAAAGTAACAAAGGCTACCATCAGTAACACACTACGCCGCCAAGGACTCAAATCCTGCAGTGCCAGACGTGTCCCCCTGCTTAAGCCAGTACATGTCAAGGCCCGTCTGAAGTTTGCTAGAGAGCATTTGGATGATCCAGACGATGACTGGGAGAACATCATATGGTCAGATGAAACAAAAATAGAACTTTTTGGTAAAAACTCTACTCGTCGTGTTTGGAGGAGAGAGAATGCTGAGTTGCATCCAAAGAACACCATACCTACAGTGAAGCATGGGGGTGGAAACATCATGCTTTGGGGCTGTTTTTCTGCTAAGGGACCAGGACGACTGATCCGTGTGAAGGAAAGAATGAATGGGGCCATGTATCGTCAAATTTTGAGTGAAAACCTCCTTCCATCAGCAAGGGCATTGAAGATGAAACATGGCTGGGTCTTTCAGCATGACAATGATCCCAAACACACCGCCCGGGTAACGAAGGAGTGGCTTCTTAAGAAGCATTTCAAGGTCCTGGAGTGGCCTAGCCAGTCTCCAGATCTCAACCCCATAGAAAATCTTTGGAGGGAGTTGAAAGTCCGTGTTGCCCAGCGACAGCCCCAGAACATCACTTTTCTAGAGGAGATCTGCATGGAGTAATGGGCCAAAATACCAGCAACAGTGTGTGAAAACCTTGTGAAGACTTACAGAAAACGTTTGATCTCTGTCATTGCCAACAAAGGGTATATAACAAAGTATTGAGATGAACTTTTGTTATTGACCAAATACTTATTTTCCACCATATTTTGCAAATAAATTCTTTAAAAATCAGATAATGTGATTTTCTGGATTTTTTTTCTCATTTTATGTCTCATAGTTGAGGTATATCTATGATGAAAATTACCGGCCTCTCTCATCTTTTTGAGTGGGAGAACTTGCACTATTGGTGGCTGACTAAATACTTTTTTGCCCCACTGTACCTGATAACAGCCAGTAGAAGACTACACAAAAAATAATCTTGACTTATCGCATAAATTAATAATATAAAAAATGTATTTCTGTTTTTTCTTTTTACATATTTTGTTAAAAGGGCAAATAAGGAATTCAAACCCCAAAAAAAGTAATTTTCTGTTTTGTTTCTGTTCTTGGATCAGGCTTTAAAGGGTTAATTGGGTGCAAATTGGCACTAGACAAAGTGAAACTGAGGCACAAATAACAAATGTACAGGTACTTAATTAGAGTATGCATTCAAATGGCGTTTGTTTGTCTGATAAAGGTATATTTTGAAAAAAAAAGCCTTTAGGTAAATATAAAATACTTTTTTCGAAACCCAAATTTCTTTGCTGAAAATATTGCATTCTTTAATGAAATGTTTATGCTAGCTGTAAGCAGAAAGTCATCATTTCAAAAATACGAAACATACTGTAAAACATCATTATGTATGCAATTAAATTTTATTTTATGTAATTTCTAATATTTAAATTAATCAGGAAGCATCAGTAGAGATGTGCCTTGATACAACCAAAGGTACTGAGGTAACAGACCTTAAAGAACGCATTAAATACTGAATCAAGGATTTTTAGATTTTTTAGTTGAATATTTTTATAGTCTAAGGGGGATATTAAACTTTAACTTCATGAGAAAAGAGTTTGGATTTGTTCTTTACCTTCATATTGAAAATATGGCGTTTATATGACTGAGTTTGTTAGGTAACAGCAAGCTTTCATCACTGAAATGCTTCAAAAATTCCATGTTCAGATTGTTTACTGAAAAGACACTGGAGCAAAAGTGAAGTGAAGCAGTTAGATCTGTAGAGCGAAACTAAAACATATGAGAACACTGACCCTTAGCAGCCTCCTGGTTGTGAAGTGCCAGATTATTATCCGTCCCGCCAGTGGGAACGCGGTTCAGCCCATTGCCGAGGTTCTTCTTCCTGCGACTTTTCCTCAACCAGCTGAAGGCCTGACCCAGGGAGCTTCCAGACTTTCTCTGTCCACGCTGAGCCCTGGCTTCCCTGGCTAAGATCTCAGTGATGTCCCTGGGTACCAGATCACCTGTAGACCTCCTCCGGGACATTGTGAGGTGGGTCCCGGTAGCCCTGGGTAGCAATCTCCCCCTCAGACTGAGGTCTTCTCACAAGGAATGATTCACCGGATTTGAAACCTCCTTATTTTCCAAGATTTGATGACAGAGTCGATCCCCCTTTGGCCTTTCTTAGTATCTTTTTTTTCCTGACCGCCACCACCTGGGATAACAGTGAGATCAGCAGGATGAGACATAGAAGGCTGGAGAACAAAGCCATTGGGAGGACTGGGTGAGACATTGAGAAAATGAGGCTTTAAGGATAAAACTAGAAACAAGCTGGCTAACCTGGAGCATTCACTCAATGTCCAGCTGAAGTTCTAACATCATCACTGATTTTAATCCTTACAGGGAAACCAGGTCTTCGCAGATACAGTATCCTACATGGGTGTGCACACATGTGGTTTAGATCAGCAGAAACTCAAAGATTGGTTCAAGAATAGAAAGAATCTCTGTACAACCTAACTAGGAATGAAAAAAAGATCCACACATTTTTACTAAACAGACAAACCAAAAGGGAGTGGGATAAACTGCAGACTTAAGTTTCCTCTACCTGCTGTATCAAAGCAAATAGTATTTTTCTACAGTGTAAAAAATTGCAAAGATCCAATCTTAAACAACTTACTCAGTGAGTGTACCGTCCTCCCTGCTGCTCCTCTTTTTTTTCTCCAAGCCTGAGAACAGCTTTCCAGGGGATATATGAGTGTGTTTAGCAGAGTGAATGAAGCTCCATGCTCTCTGAACAGCCCGTCCCTCCCTCTGCATGAGAGCCAGCCTCTCCTCCACCCTCTTACGTTGCTGTTTGCAGTCAGCCACAAAGCCCAAGCTCTGCCTGCTTCTCTCTACATACCAAACAAGCTGGATTTTTTCTAGCTTTTCTTCTGCACTGTTGAGTCCTCTGCTCTGGCTGCAGGGATTGTCATTGTTTTTTTGTTTTGAACTTTGTACCCTTTTTTGCATCCACTCGTTACCTTTTTTTTTTTTACAGCGACCAGGTTCAGAGTGACTCCTGAGTCACAGTCACAGTTGTTCAGATGCATAGTTTTGGTACAAATGCATTTTTAGAAATTGGCTTGTGGATTGATTTTCAAGAAAATCAATCGTCAATAAATGCATGTAAAAAATTAATAAATATCTCTGATAGCTGAGGTTGTCCCCTGACCCTGTGCAGCCAGGTAGAAACCTGACACCCTTAGTTTAATGTGACACACACACACCTACACTCATACTCAATATGGCAGACAGGTAGAGTGAGTCGCAAGAGGCCAGATACCCTTGAGTCTTGTTTATTTTTCCCAAACTTTTAGCTCATTTTGACATCTCCGGTGTTATTAAATTATTATTTTGCTTTGACATTTTATTTTGTTTTATTAGCTGGTTGTTGATCTATTGAGTTTATTGTATTTTATTAGTTTGTATCAGAGCAGAGTGCTTTAAATTTTGCTTTAAAAGCAGTAATCTGATATTGATAGATAGACTTAAGGGCAGGTAGGTAGGTAGGTGACTGAATCTGATTTTCAGACAATGACCTGATCATATAATAAAGGGAAATTCTTTAATCCAAACATTGCATGTATTTTTGTAGCTCTTGCTGAATGTTTAGCTGGAGAATGGATTAATTAATTATTTCCTTTGGTTTCTGTTCCACATAATTTTATTGTGCATTTGCTATGTAAGCAAAAAAGTTCTGTTTTGGTTGCCTTTCATCAAATCACCTCCGTCCACATGCTTGCAATGTCACCCTGATTACTTGTTGAGTCAGATTTGTGGAGTGCGTGATTAAATTCTTTGAACAGATTCTCTCTGGAGCTCATCCAGAGTTACCATGGACATTTGATCAGATATCTCATTTATGCCGTTCTTGTCCAGCCTGTCAGTTCAGGTGCAGGGTTTGTTGTTGCAAATTTAGAGTTGTGCCTTTACTCTTTGGTTTTACTGCTATTCAACAGGGATAATGACTCTTGGATTTGGGTCTCCATAAACAGAGTTTGCATGTTCTCAGTGGGCAAATAGGGGTTTTTCTTCAGATGCTGCAGCTTTCGCCTACTGTCCAAAAAACACGGCTGTTTGGTTAGTTGGCATCTCTAAATTATCATCAGGTGTTCGTTGGTTTGCTTATTATTTATCCTGTCTGTATCTGTGTTATACGGTGACTTGCAACCTATTTAAGATGTTTTTCACCTCTTGTCCAATGTAAATTTAGAATACAGAGCAGTTGCCTTAAACTCTGCAGGGACTTGACAATTGAGAGAAGATTGCATGTTGTCGTATCACACAAATGCATAAGTTTTATTTAGTCAGGCATGGCCTGTACAGGCTCACTTGCTCTGTGTTCCATCTTTAACCAGTTGGTTGTGGGTCAATGTCTTCATTTAGCTTCAGTGATGAGGCTGCATATTACCTGTCCGTCGGGATTCCTGAGCTATTTCTTACTCACCTTCTGAACCAATCACTGTCAGTCCACCTCTGAGGAAAAGTCCTAAAACACATGGCTCTCATATGCTTCAGGTCATCTTTTCTCAATTTGATCTTTTTTAGTCAGCAGCAGCCTTTATGATATCCCATTGGAAAACAATGGGAAACTATGAGGAAGTTCGGCAGCTAAGACAGAATGAATACACACTGTGTCCATTATGCCTCCATTAGTTTGGGTGACAGATACCCATTCTGATTCCATTTAAAATGATTCAAACTTAATAAACTTTCCCCGTGTATCAGATCTGTGGGCAGGTTATGAATGTGACATGATTAATGATACGTGAGGTCTGACGTTAGTTTGGGTTTCTAGAATGTGTGGAAGAGTGCAGGAGGTGGAGGGCTCTGTACCGTAAACTGCTGTGCAGGGAGGGGTTAAAATGAGTCATAGCTCAGTTGAATCTGACTTAACAGCCTGAAATGTTTAACATTTCCATGGCAATGGAGAAGAAAACAGCCATCCTTACTGTGTCTGCTTCAGGGTTGAGTCCCTCTGGGAACGTAGAGTGTTTATGCGCGAGTGAACGCTGAGGGAGGCACAAAATCATTAACCCACATGAGCCTTACTAGGGAATGTATAGCCAATCCAGCCTTAGATAATCTGTTTCTCTTTGCTACGATCACAGAGAAGGTCTCTTTAAAAACCTCCTTCCTGCTGATGACGGATTACTGAGTACTGCATCATTTGATGCAGTAAAACAATAGAGATCACAGTGGCTTGACGAATATTCACACCTCTTGAACTTTTTCCAACTTCTGTCATGTCTTAAGGAGTTTTATTGCTTTCATCTCAAGAGTTGGACATGCTGCAAGTCTCTTAAAGAATATCTCTATCAGCTTTGTACATCAAGACAAACACCTTTGGCCAACTTTCTTTTTTAAGGTCAGTTTCAGTCAGAATGGATGGAGCCTGTTTAGGTACAACAGATTCTCATTTGGTTTTAGGTCTTGACTTTGACTAGGCCATAAGACAAATTAATATTCTTTCATGTCATTTCTTTCACTGTAGCTCTTGCTTTATGTTTAGCATTGTCATCCTGCTTGAAGGTGAACAGTTCTCATTCCTAAAGTTGTTCTTCCAGGACCGTCTGATATTTTGCTCCAACCATAGTCTCATCATGATATTTCTGATTAAAAAAATAAAAAATTCCACAACATTCTGCTGCTGTCACCATCTTTCTATGCTAAGAGGGTTTTTATTTTGTTTCAACCACTAATACTGTTCTCTATCTAGACTGAGTATCTTGTTAAATGTTTCCCATTGTTTCCATGCATAACATGCCTTAAACTTCAAGTATAGTTTTTTGTGACCGTCTTTGTAACCATCCTTCTTTTCATTCCTTAATCAAGGCCAGATTTGACATGTTTTGTTTAAATTCACCTGATGTGACTGATGGCCAGCATTAGAATCACAAGGCAAAGTCCTTGGATGGTATATACCGCTGCTGGCATAGCTGACATAATAAAGTAAGTACAACTTACCTGATTGCCACACAGTCATTTAAAGCTCTGTACATTGTTGATCTGTGGTCCTCACTAGTTTGCTCTCCTTACTTCCTCTTTATTACAATATTGTTTGCATTGCCTCATTAATTTTAACCTATGAAAGATGAAATGTCTTATTCACTTTTTTTCCTTCAACATTGTAAAATGTTTTAATGGAAACACAGCTACTGACAGACTATTGAGCTAACAGTTGGTCTGTCAGTGAATTCCTCCATCTGAGTTGTGGAGTTCTTCAGCTCGTCAAACGTTACTTCTGTGTCAGGGTTTGGTTGTGGTTTGGAGGACCCAAATGCAGAAGCAGAGGCTGAGGAGATTTCTTGTAGCTTTAATGAAATAAACAGAGGTAACAGAGGCGGGAATCCAAAAATCCAAAATCAAACATGAAAAATACAAAGCAAACCATCTGGGGAAACCAAACACGAGGAGCCAGGGAGAGACGAGGAACATGGACAACATTATGGGAGGACAGCTAAGACAAGGAACCAACAAAGAGTGAGAGCAGAGGGAGAGCATACATAGCAGAGAGAGACAAAGGGAGGGCTAACGAGCTGACAAGGAGCAGGTGTGAGAGGAGACAACGAGGGAGCCAAGGGGAAAGGAACACACACAAGAGGGCAACAGAGGACAACAGAAAAACATGAGAACTAACATAAATCTAGAAATTACAACAAAACTGGAATTAAACCAATAAATCTAGAAAACAAGGAGCAAAGTAAAGAACAGCAGAACCAAGACCATGACATTCTCTAATTAACCTTGTCCATTTCAGTTTATTTGGGTGCTAGTTCTTTGGTAAGTTTGCCGTACTTTTTTCATTTTTCAATTCATATATATGAGGTTCTTTATGAGCTTCGGATCATTTATTAAAGAGACCTATGTTTGCATTTTTAGGAATTTTTAGGTCTATAAAAATATAATCAAAAAGGTTTTTTTTGTGTGCAAAATTTTCATTAGATATGGCAATTGCAAGTAAGGTGAATAAAGTAAAAAAAAAAAAAAACAACCTAGTTCAGCACGAGTGTGACCTATGAGAATAAGCAGAAAATTGCCTAATTTCTGTGTTTTGACCACAGGTGGCAGTATCGTCAGAAAACTCCCCTCATTTTAAACAAATAAGATTTAGCTGGATGACCCAAACCTGGCTGCAAACAGGTGTGCAACAGTGCAACGGCACATCTTTGATCCTGAGTCAGAGCAAAAAGCTGAAGAAGTGGAGCCTATTGCTACAGGGCTCCTGTAGAGACAGTTCCAGGGCAGTGTTGAAAGCAATGTTCCTGCAGTGTTGAACTTCCTGGAAACTGTCCATAATAGCTGTGTTTCTTGTAAAGTGATGTTTTGTGATAGGCAGATCTAGGAGACCCTTAAAGCTACAGTGTGTAATTTTTAGCGACATCTAACGTCCAGACTGCAGACCGCAGCAACATGAACATCTCCCCGCCACCGCTTCTCCCCCCCAACAGTACGGCGAGCGTTACGGGACAAAATGTCTTCCACGACGTCCGCATCACCTACCTTCTTAAGTGATGAGGTTTGTTTACATAGATAATTTTACAGATAGTATTCTCAGGCATAATACTGCCATCTATTGTTCAGTACCGTCTCAGTATATCTCTCTCAACTTTCCGTAGTGTAATGGGCGATCTCGCAATCGCTAGTTTGTTGGCTCTGCGCTGCCGTAGCGCAAAGATGTCTGCCTCCATGGCTGCGACACCCGCTCCTATGTAATTATAAATAACGAATTCTAAGGCAACGCAAATATTAAGGTTAAGAGGCTGAGCTCGTAGATGATGATAAATAACATAGTTATGTATAATATATTACATTTCTGACTGTATATCCCTGTAATTATTACACACTGTAGCTTTAATTTAGGTAATGAGAATCTGACAAAATTCAGACACAAACAGCACAAGCATGCCTAAGAGATTGTTTTGGTGCAAATTGGCACATGAATAGTGTACAGGAATTATATGCACATTTTTCAGAATTTATTTGTGGTAGTGTTAGGTTCTGTGTCTGATATATTAAATATAACTTTCACGTAGGATGTGCTTTAGAATTAATGTTAGATTTTTGTATTGTTTTTGTTTTTACTCTGCTTGGGTTGCTGGGTGAGGGGCAGAGCCAGCCAATTTTGACGTACTAATCCGGAGGTATTCAAACCGCCCAGGTTTTCACCAATAAAATGTTTCCTCATTGTCACGATTAGTGCTGGTTGATTTTCTTTAGCCCTTGGATGTACAAAAAGCTTATGAGAAGTGAATTTTGGATAAAAGGTCACCTTTATAACCTCTTAGGCCTTTGCAGAACTGTTTTAAATTTGACATTTTATCACCTTATAACCACAAGCTTTAGCGTATTTAATGGGATTTTGTTCAAAAATTGCCAGAAAACAGAGAATAATTGTCAGCAAAAAAAAAAAGAATTTGCTTACAAGGCCAAAGGGAGATGGAGCACAGCAACACCTATACACTTAAAGTGTATTTTGGATTCTTGGGCTATTTGATGTCATAAAGGAAGCTGATCTGGTTGGCCTGACACAGTTAAAATAAAGAGATGAAACTTTCAGTAAGAGACCTGTGTGAAACTGTGTGTGTGTTTGATGGGACTGAAAGTAGACTGCAGGCAGGAAATCCATACTGCCGGCTGGGATAAGCCAGCTCTCTCAGAGCAGCATTATCATTCCCGACCTGCTTTTGTCCTGTGACCATCCATTCTTTCTGCCCCAAATACTTCACTCTGTGCTTTCCTTGAAAAACACACACCACTGCATCCAAACCAAAACACTAGCACATGTTTCAGCTGCATTAATTAATATATTACCTTTTTACCTGCACAAAAAAAAAAAAAACATAAAAACAATGTAATACCATGGAGCAGCTAAAAGGATGGGAGGGGTGGATAGGAAGGTAGGAGAGGAAAAAGAAATAAGGGCAGCGGGAGAAATATGGAGTGTAATAACAGTTCAAAAAATAGAGAGAGGTCAATGTGCAGCTAGAAAAAATAGAGGGGATTCCTGTCTGTGCAAAAGAAACAGCTTTAATTTACCAATCGCTGTAGATGAAAGAGGTAGCAGCTGGCACTGAGAGCTGACTGGGAAGGTAGATGGAAAGACAAAAATAAAGCAAAAGTTAAAGTGGATTTTCTAAATTTCAGCAGAAACTATACAAAATCACATGATCTTATCAGTAGATACATCTTCAGAATAAAACACCAAAGACAGAAATCTGTTATTTCTGTGTTTCGGGACATAATCATGTACTGCATTGTTAGGAAGAATAAGTTCAATGAAATATTTCAAACAATTCCATAAAAAATAAAAATAACCTTTTATTCCTGCTGTTCTTATAGAGAAGCAATTTAATTACTTTAAATCTGTGAAACACATGATTGACCGTATATCATAGAATTGGAGCAGACAACGAAGCACTGCAAAAAATTTTAATCTAAGAAAGTTTATTGTTCATAAAATAAGAGCTTTTTTTCTTGAATTAAAGGAATAGTACACCCAAAACATGATTAGCCTTCATTTTCTACTCACCCCCATGCTGAACAACACTCTGGAGTACTTTTTTGATTTCTCAAATGCATCTGGAGATCTGGGAGGCTTCTTGCTGTCTGCTGACATTCAAATAATGGAGGTCTATGGCGCCCGAGACAGACAGGTCCATAAAAGTCCACAAAAAACGTGTCAATATTCCTCCATACTGCTCGTCCAATGTATTCCAAGTGTCCTGAGTGGGTAGCATCCAGAATTTACTCGAAACGAAGTCATTTAGAATGTCCATTGACAAAGTGAATCACTTTGTCAATGGAAAAAGGCAATTTACATTTAAAATTAGTAAAAACAAGTGCAGTCTCATTTCAAGTGCATAACATCTAATTATCCTATTTTATATGTATATTAAGTGTAAAAATACACTTATTCCATTAGCCGATTATCTTATTTACCTGCTCAAATTAAGGGTAAATACACTTAATTTAAGACATTTTACTCATTTTTAGATCATTTTTCCAGTGTGGAAATATCACAAAATCTCTTTTTATCCAAAGTTAGACAACTTGACAAATGATTAAGATCTCATCACTACCACCATTATGCACCTTATAGATGCCTGCTTTCTCGGACACACCGGATTCAAATGCCTGTTTTCCCTCTTTAGGTAGACTGTGTAAACAGAAAGATTAATTCCATCCTGTAGGCTTCTGTGAAGAGTTTTTATCTCAAGGCTGACTTAGAAGTAAGACATTATGTTTGGTACTGAGCTCAAAGCAGCTTGCATACATAGACATTTGTTAAGTTAACATTGACATAACAGAGAAAACTTTTAACAGTGAATCCTAAAAGTACTGCTTTGGTTAATGTAGAGGCAGGTATTATAATTTGTTCAATCTCATCAATTGTCTCGACACTTGATAAAAATTAAGCGATTATGAAGTTCTTCTATCAGCAAACACTCTGAAGTAGAGAGCCGATCCTTGTTTTAGCTTCCAGTATTTTCTACTCTCTGATAGAGGAGCAGGTGTTTAGTTTTCAGCTTGTTACATGTTTGTCTCTCAGCTGCTTGACCCCAGATAAAGATTAAGATGTCAGAATTTATAGGTCAGGTGGCAAGAAGAAGTGGATTGTAGCCTGTGCAGGTTCACATCACCCTTGCTTAGTTTATTAAGAGGTAATAAACTAAGTAAAACTGTGTGTCAGAAAAATACACCCCAATGAGCTACATTAAGTCAAAGCTCCATGTTCCCTGTTTTTTTTTTTTTTGTGTTTTTTTTTTAATGGAGCTGTGACGTATTTCTAAGAGTTTGGAAGCAGTCTGAGCCATAACAGGCCAGCTGTTTGGAGAACCATCTGCTTAGCAGCTTACACACAAAATTAAATACATTCTTTCTGTAGTATTCACCCAAAACCAAACCGTTACCGTCTAAGAGAAAGCATCCAATAAATTCTGACAATATATTAATGGATAAATGTTAATTTACAGACAATTTAAAGTGTTTTTCAGCCCCTCTTCTTTCGGTTACCCTAAATTAAAATAAGGTCGGCACGATACTGTAATTTTTGTCACGGTGGGGTAGAGGTTTGAAAGGACCCAAATGTAGACACTAAAGCTCAAGTGGTTTCTTGTAGATTTAGTTAACCCAGAAGGAATACTCACAACAAGGGGGTCAAAGAAATTACAACAAAACAGCAACAATGACTGAGCAAGGATGGGCATATATAGGAGAGAGAAACAAAGACAAGGCTAGTCAGCAGATAGGGAGCAGGTATAAACAGAGGAGTCTAGAAGGGGGCTAGGAGAAGGAGACTGACACAAGAGCGCAAAAAAGAAATACGTAAAAACTCAAATACATCCAATAAACACCACAAAATAGGAATTAAACCAATAAAACTAGAAAACAAAGAGAAACATGGACCAAAGTTAAATGGAAAACTTAAACAGAACCAAAACCGTTACAATTTTGACTGATATCTGATAAGCTAATATTTTACAGTTCAACAAGCCAATACCAATATTTGTTTTTTCTAAACCTGCTTGTAAACTCTCCCTCCGGTCCTGCACAGTCATCACAAATAGCAGTTTGGCAATCTGTTTCAGTAACCTTAAAAAACATTCAAACCACCTGAAGATTTACTTTAGTGTACTTATGCATAATTTGTTTCTCACAAAACACTTAATGTATATCAATGAATTCTATTGGCATATTCACTGATTTATATAAATGTAAGGCTCAGAACAAAAGGACCCAGCTTTGAAGGTGAAGGGGCTGTTGGGTTTCACAAGATGTTTATTTAAGACAGAACTGTAGAGAACAGTGTTGGTGTCTAAGGCAGGAACCTCTGAAGGAAGACATGACAGGTTTGTGACCACGTCTTTTTGGTGGAGGATGTTATAGAACGCGTGAGTCCCTAACCTGGTCTTATATTTCAGTCTGTGCCCAAAGGACAAGGTTAGTTCCAGCTGGTTGGCTGCCAACGAGACGCAGCTAGCCATTCACAGAGAGTCCGAGACGCTTGAGTCCTGGAGGTTGGAGGACAGGCAGGAGATCAGAACCGAACAGAGGAAGGACAGCAGCATAATCCAGAGGACGAAGCAAAAGCCGGTGTTGAGAACATGCTCAGGAGTCAGGACCAGGAGATCAGAGATACAAAAAGGCTCCTAAGGGGAATCCAGGTCGGTGTCAGCAATCAGTTCCAGGTTTGGTTACCAGACAGAATCCAGCAGGAGCCTGAAGGTAGGTCAGGCAAACAGATCAGAACAGGGACAGGCAGGCTCAGAAGTTCAGAGGTAGAACAGGTCAGGATGAGGCAATCAGAACACACAGGTATTCTAGAGAAGTCACCAAAAGCTTGAATAATCTGGCATTGATGACTGGAAGCAGCCAGGTTAAATAGCGGCTGAAGCAGGTGGATCAGATGAGCGTTAATGAGAACTGGGCGGAGATAAGCAGGTGAATGAAATGAGTAATCAGGCAAGTTATCAGCACCAAGATCATGACAGTAAAGTCTAGAGTTTTGCAATTTAACCTCAGCATAGAGGTGACGTGTGAAAGCTTTGGAGGTTTGTAAGAGAACATTAAGAAACACCATTAAAATAAAATAATACAATTTTGTGAGCCAAAAGCCATTTGGATGTTAAGTGTTTTTGCTCTTCCTGCTAATGGTTATGTGTGCAATGGTTATTTTTTTTACAGCATTGGCATAAAAAGAAAAATGGTCAGAGATAAGAAGAAAATGGGTCAAATGATAAACAATCCATTCCTGGAGGATCATGTCCAGCAATACATGAACTCTAAACACACAACCAGAGCAACACCGGAAAGGTTTAGGTAGAGGCGTGTTAGAACGGTCCAGTCAATGCCAAAAAATATGTTCAAGACTTAAAGACTGATTTTCACAGAAACCAATCAAATATGTATACATTTATATCCAAATGTAGTTTAACATTATTAGAATTCAGAAAAAAAACCACTCTTTGGCACCTACAGTTGACACTTAACAATCTAAAACTGTTTAGAAGCATAAGAAAGGGAAATATTTATGGGGAATGTTTGAAAGTGACTTTGGATCCGGAGAGTATGTTTTAAACTTACCCCTTGAACTTTTTAAAATGTTTTCTTAAGAAAAAGCATTTTTCATTATTGGGCCTTTTCTTGTGAAAAAAAGTCAGTCATCTAGCTTAACACGTTTTTCTAAAAACCCAGCTAAAACTATTTTTGCAGCAGGAATTTCTGAGAGGGTGTGGTCGCCACGGGACTGTTTGGGGCAGGACAAAAACAACGCCACTGCTTTCCAACACTCCCACTCAAACTGCCCCTCTCTCTGTCTGCCTCAGTCTCTCCAATTTTCCCCTTTCTAACAATCTGTTTTCACTCTCTGCTGTGGGTCACCCACTGATGTCACAATCAGGAAGCCTGAGGTGATCTTTGTCGTTTCTTTAAAATGAAAACTAGGGGCTGGAACTCACACACCATCTCATTAAGGGAGTTAAAAACAGAGCAGTGAAACCACGTTTAAATAAGAGTGTCGGTAAAGTCAAGGTCTGAGGTTTTTCAGAACTTTTTTGCCAACTTTTCGAATGTCATTGATCTCACTTTGTCAAAGACAGTAATGTTGTGCTTTATAAGTACTATTTACAGCACGTCATTAAGTATCTTATCGACAAAATTGCAATTATTTCCAAGACTGGAAGCTGATGTGGACACGTCAGCTTGTACGCTAGATGATGAGTCACTAAACTAACAACTTCAGCTTTATATATTTAGATTTGAGGCGACTGAAGGGAGAATTTGTGGCGACAGCATGAGGGATTGGCTGCATAAGAAGGACAGCTAAAAAAAAGAATTAAATACAAGATCCAGATTATTCCATGTCTTGAAGAGTCAACTAAAAAAAAACTTTTTGAATTCAGTCTGGATATCTTCATTAGGAATATCTCCCCAGCACCTCCATTTCAATAGATTGCCAAAACTACTGGGATGCTTGCCTTTAAACGTGCTATTCCTTAAGTAAACACGTTTGTGGAGTTGGTCAACAACTAAGAGGTGTTTGTGCTTCAACTCTTTTGGTTTTTCCCAAGGGAGTGACATGGTGGTGGTTTTAGAACTTTCTTCCACAGGTTAATTTCACAAAGCAGGTTTGAAAAACTCTGACTCAACTCTGAATTGATCTAGCCTAAGATTGAAAACTCTGAATTTTTTCAGTTTAACAACAGCTGAGTGAGTTAGTTTAATTAACTCTGAGTAGGTCGACCCAGAGTTAAGCACGTGCTTAAAGCCCTGATTCAATGAGTCACAATGACAATGAGCAAGAGGGGTTTTCCTAATTCAGACATCACTGTGATTAAAGATTTTAATGAATAATTTGAAAAATAAATTGGAGAATGTTTTTAAAAGAAAGAAGGAGAGGAAGATGACATAGGAGAAGATTGCTGATGAGTTAAAGCATACATTTATATGAGCCCTAGTATGGCAGGCCATTTTTACATTCATTAAAAGTTTGGTTTTCCATTTTGTCACTAAAAACATTTTTTCATTATAATTGGATTCTTCTCAGTCAAAATTACATTGCTACACCAAACTGTGATAACAGTTTTCCTGAATTACATTTTTGCCACCGTAAAATTACTTTCAGAATGTCAAAAAACAATATTAATTCGAGTAAGAATTATGGCTCATATACCTTGAAATGCTAACACATTTTAAGTGCCCATTTTGTATGCAGTAGTTTCTGGTGATTGGCTTATACAAGGGAGCTCTGTGATTGGTTGCAAACCATCTCTTGTTTAAAAAGATGCATTTGAGTATCGAGAGACGTCAGGAGGGTCTCGAAAATCCACACACAAACGCAGTGAAGTTTAAAGACCACTGGTACATTGTAATTTAACTTATAATATGTATAATGTTTTTGGACCAGCAATACTATGGCAAATGTGCTCTGCATGTGTGAATCCTCTATGCTTGCGTGAATCATGCCATGTGTGTGGATCTTGTTCTGTATGTGTGTGAATTTTTTTGTGCCTGCATAATTCGTGCTGTGTGTGTCTTGTCCTATGCATGTATAAATCCCATATGTGTATTTGTATCTAGCTCGTCAATTTTTACATTTCTGAGTTTGTATTACAGTGATATGTATTTCAATTTCTTCAAAATAAAGCAAATGTTGAATGTTTTAATTTAGATATGAGGAATATCATTTTGTTTGAAATGTTCATTTGATCAGGAAAAATTGTATTTCACATATATAATATGTATTTCACAGAAATACATATTCAGACAAACTAATACATATATAAATGACCTATAAAATACATATACATACATATATAAATGACATTATTGAGGGGAAAATGTTTACTGGTTGAATGGCAGTGGATCAATGTAATCTCATGGAATAGAAGCTAAACTGGTAGCCGGTGAAGATGAAGTCTAAAACGTTGTTCTATCCGGTAGGACCTGTGCATCATCTCATGTGGTTCTTCTTCATTTTTATTCTGTCTTCCATCACATAGTAAATACTAAATATCTGTGCAGTTGTTTTTTTTTTTTATAATTTTGTTATCACAACAATTAATGTGCTGCAACTATATCTAGTTTTTACAAATACTGTACCTGTTAAAGAACTTTGTGTAATGTTGTTAATGTGAGGAAGGTTAAGGTCCTGGATGTATGTGAAGGATTGTGAGGTGAAACAGTAGTGCTTATAAACATAACTTTCTAAATAAAAAGGACATTTATATGTGGCCTGAGAGCCCTCTACCTATAAGTATTTAATTCTCTGGGAATTGATACCACTCATTCTTTAATCAAAAGGACTTGCTATGTTTTTGTTTTTAACACATAATATGTCTAATGAATCTAGTGACTCATTTTCTTTTTGTTGTTCACATAAAAGTACGACTAACTCTCCTGACATATTAGCTTTAAGGAGGTCAGAGAAAGAGGATGCTAAGTTTATTCAGGAAAACCTGCACCCAACCAGGTTAGCTTTAGGGATAATGTTACTATGGTTACAGACACAGAGGTTGAATAAACTCTCTTTGTGAAACAGAAAATGCTTAGTTTCCCTGCATTTTCCCAGGTTTTGTAAACTCAGAGTTAATTTGATGAGTGTCTCTATATCTTATACAAACAGTGTACATTGCCATTGCAATGTTACCATAAATGTAGATAGCAGCTCTAAATTATACTGTAGCTGTAAAAAATTATTTTGGTGGGTTACTATAGTATGCTATATCAGCCATTAGTATTCCTATTGCTGATTTTTCTGCAGTGTTGCTAAATATGCCAAGAAAAGTCCATCAAACTTCCTTGTACTCTGATTCTTGGTACCTCAAACATCTTAGACTTATAAAGGTTTGATTTATTGCCTGTCTCTCATGAGTGAACAAAGGTGATTTAATCTTATTCTTTCTTGTTATCAACTTTTTCATCAGCTGTCTTTTTGTGGGAAGTGGCTGTGATTGCGAAACACCAAATTTTTTTTATAATGAAGCAATGAGATTGCCACAAAAAATTTGTGGGATAAACTAGGTCAGTGTCTTAACATCTTTGGATTAGGGGGAAACAGAAATGTTAGAAATTCCACTAAGTTTAAAAATGAAATAGCCTTCTAAGCAGAATGGAAGCTTTTAAATGCAACAGCTGGAACAAACCGGCAAGTGAATAATGCTCTGAAAGATGAGATGGCACACTTTTAGCAAATTAAGAAGTAATTCTGTTAGATCCCTACAGGCGACATGTCCAAACAAAGGGACCATAATAACAGAACAAAGACTGCTGTTGACAATTATGAAACAGAAACACCCATCTCTAAGTAAACACCAGATAAGCTCTCTGTCATTATGTTACTCTTGGCTGCAGAAAAGTATGGCCGTATGATTGATTATACCTCTCAACATCAATGAGGGTAGATGACATAAGGTGATTATTGGTTGATGGTAATGTCTTCTAAAGGGACTGCCATTAATATAGATATATATCAACAAGAAATGTTAATTGCATTTTATTTTAAAATCCAGTCCAGCTACAGTAGATCTTTTCTTCAAAAATTTTGTTTTATTATTGTGACTTCTTGTTTTATCCTGGAAGTTGTTTTCTCAGAGCATTACTAGCCTTTCTAACTTTACTTTAGGAAAAAGGAAAAAGAAACATATGTATAATTAGTATATTTCCAGCAAGTTCCAAATATTGGCAATATTGCTAACAAGAATGGTGTTTATAATGGAGTATTGATTTTGCTGAATGTTATATTATTTTGTATAAGTTATTGTTAAGCAGTCTGGTTATTGCCTCTTGCACAATGATGACTTAAGATGATCACAAGATGCCCTGCAACCCTACAAAGATGAGTAGACATATGCCTGTTTCCCACTGGCTGAAAAAACCTGTTCAAACCCGGGAACAATTGGCTTTTAGTGGCAGAGAGAACATCTCACTGATGTGTGTCTAAAAGGGTCAAAAGACTCGGCAACTGCATTCAAATTCCCTTTGATCAGCATGCTGTGGGAAATTACGTGACATCATTAGCAAGGTACCGCTTTCAACACCACACGCCAGTCACTTGTGATCTAACAAGCTGAAACAAATCTGCTTACAGTTGATAAACATGTGGCAGCACTACTGAGAGGGACTCGGACAGGTGACTGAACGAAATAATGAAGACTACTGACTACGCACTGGCTCCTGACCATGTTGCATTCCATTATTTATTTCCCAGATTTCCGTTGCACTTTCTACATCATCAACGCTCACCCAGTGTGATGTCATCATCGGACACATTGTGGTGGGAGACAGTGGCACAGAAGCTTGCCAGCAGGAGGGGGGTTGCAAAAAAATCGGTAAAGGCCCAAAAGCCGATTATTAGAGGGTCAACCCTGAAATACCCTGGTTTTCAATGGGAAAACGGCTATAGAGAATAGACAGATGAATGGACAGTCCTTATCTATGCAGGTGTAATACACAACACCAAAAAAACGAATTATTAAGATGAAATTAAAAACACAAAATCCTGTTTAACAGTTAAGGGCTGAAAAGCAGGGCCTAGTACAGAGCCTTGGGGGACCCCCACAGTGAATAGAATGTTCTCAAATATAAATTTCCTATACTTCTTTGGATTTCAAGCTTTTAAAAAAAAGCAGCACCTAAATCAAATAGTTTGTCAAAAGCAAGTTTAGCAGAATCTTGTTCTATCCTTAAATCTAGTGTTGCGTCGATGCCATTTTTTGGCCCCAATGCCGATACCCGATACCTGGCTGTGCAGTATTGACCGATACCAATACCATCTGTTTGAAATTGATGTGTGTGTATATATATGAAGAACTGCATACTACTTGGACGTAAAATAATTGCCATCATGGCTTTGTCAAGCTGCTGCCTACCTTTGTCAAGCAGGAAAAAGACTAATAAAAAGTGAATCCAGCTTTATTGCCTACCTGGAATGGGTGACAATAGCTGAATAAACTTTTGGCTCTCAAAATGGTATCGGTGCCCTATTTGTTGATACTCGCCAATACCAATACCAACATTTGCTGGGTCGGGGCCCTGTCCGATACTGGTATCGCTATCGGTGCAACACTACTTAAATCATTCGTTTGTTTCAAACTACCTGCTTTTGAGCTACATTTTGTCCAAACATCAGGCTAAAACATTGGATCCCAATTATTTCTGTGGGATTTCTTTCATTCCTTTTTAATCTTTTTACAGGGGAAAATATGGTAAGAAATCGCTCTCTAGTAACAAAGGACCTTTGTGCTTTGAAGCAACCTTTGTGAGAAATGCTTTCAAGCATTCAAGAAAGATTCTGAGTAAAGATAATAAAAAAGGATGCTAACTAAAATATTTGTTGTGCTAGTTACCAGGAATGAAAATGAATATTTTTGCAGAAACAATTAGTCTTATAAAATGATTGTGCTGGAAATGTGTAATTTAGATAAAACATAAAAGCAAAAGTCCTCCACCCATTTGAACAGTCCACCCATTAGAGTTTAAGCAACAAACTATTTTTGGAAAAGCATTATTGCGATATCTGAAAAGAAACCTGATTGATATCAATGTGTCTTAAGAAAAATGCTGTGTGTTGCTCTGGGGGTCCAAAATCAAAAAATGTATCTCTTGTAAGCTCTGATTTCAGTCACTGATACAAAGTATTATGACCTCCATAGGTGGTCCTCCGTAGAAAGACAGAGTCTGAGCCAATAAACTGCCATCTGCACAATGTAGAAAAGCTTTGAAATTCTAAAATGGTCAGCTTTTATGTTTCCCATCTTTGTAAAAACACAAACAAAACGAGTACATCAATGTGTAACTGGTGTTTGTGGGATTGCAGAAGGCTGGGAGGAGAAGAGCAGCAGAAGGTGGTGGAGGAGGACACACTGACAGGATGCTCAGGAGAGTTTGGACAATACTGTACATTGGAGCAGAAAGTACCAGAGCAGTCCAAAAGAAAGTCCAGCATATGGTGTATGTCAGTGGGACACTAAGTCCTGAACCGCAGCACCCCCTTATACCCGAGGTTTTCCCTTTCATTGGAACACACACCCACATTCACTCCTTAAATTCTCAGAACAAGAAATGAAGGAGTCAAAATTAAACTAAGAACTTTGACTGTTACAATTACATGACAGAGAGACTCCAAAAATCCCTGAATCCCAGTAGCTCTGTGGGTGTGAATCATTACACCGCTGACGCATTGGCCATTTTGTCACATAAATTACAGTCTTACTAAATCACCAAGGTGATTCGGGCAAAAGAGTTGAATCACCATTACATCTTGTCTTGGGCCCACAATTACCAGGATATTTTCATAAAAGCATTGAGCATTCATTTGAAAAACATAAGTGCAATTTATTTACAGGCTATTGACTGCAGATAAAGCTTATCTATTAGGAAAGACTAAGTGAATCATTACTGGAGTGAGGTGAGTCTCTGCCTATTTGTGGAAAGCAAATACTTACCTTTCAGTGTTGGAATTTGCTTTACAGTAAAGAGTTTGGTAAATGTTAGAGGTAGTGAATGTTTTTGAAGATTATAAATTCATCCATTTTATTCGTGCAGCATTTATGTGGCTAACATTTATGCTGCTATGCCATCTAGTGGTCTTTGAATGCATAACCTAAATCCTTTAATCAACAGTCTGAGCCACAATTCAACTTAAGTTTTTTTTTTAAAAAACATGTTATACTGTGATTCATTTCAGTACTCAGTAACTGCATGTATTACAGTATCAATGTGTTTTAGATGCAATCTTCCTGTTCCTGTGGTACTACTGAGGCGTTAATGGAGGCCAGAAGCCTTTGGCTCCTGTGATGTGCTCTAAACTTTCCTGGTTGATGGCTGTATTGACATTGGATTTAAAATAAATACACAGCGGATAAAGATTAGCAGATAAAAAGCTTACCAAATCTTACTGAATAAGGAATGATACTGGACTTCAGAAAACTTTTGTGAATCTCTCTCACTCCAGACTCCAGGACCTTGATTTTTCTTTTTTTTATAGAATGCAAGATTAGATTTATCTAAAAAATTTCTTGCATGACAACCATCCTTTATAGTGCATGTCTAATGTTGTTTTCCTTCCATTCGACTTTCCATCCATATGCTTAAATATTGGCTGTTAACAGCCATCTTTTTTTGCAATGGTCGTTTGAGGACAGTAGTTTGTCCCATCATCTTGTATTCATTTCTGCAGTTGTACATTTGTTTTCAAAGTTTAATTTTCCAATATTTTGTACATCATTTTAATGAACTAAATAACATTTAAAAAAGGAATTCCTTTTATTGTCCCACAATGGGGAAATTCATTCTCTGCATTTTAACCCATCCGATTGGGGAGTAACAGGCTGCTATTGTGTGGCGCCCGGTGAGCAGTGTGGGGTTAAGGACTTGCTCAGGGACCCAGAGTGCAAGCTTGTAGGGATTAAACCGGGTACTTGCAACCTTCTCAGAGCACAAGTGCACTGCTCTGACCCACTAGGCCAGCACTCCCCAAATACTGGATTTCAGCTCTTTCTTAAAATGACCTAATTACTGTGTAACAAACATCCCTGTTTTTAAATTCAGTTACTAAAATAAAGTCTCGATTCAGTAATAGTCCAATTGATTTAGATCTACCTGTACATCCATATTGTAACACAGATTACCATCATGATCTTGTCCCCTTCTGCATCATCTCAACGGATAATTTTCCACACAGCTTCTCCTCTGATGAATTATTAAGGTCAGAAGTTTAGCTGGAAACCGATCCTCCCATGAGAAGTACTGTTTTCAAAAAAGTGCAGGCAGCTATTTAAAGACTCCTCGATAATGACGAGGTATGACTGGAATCTTGGACTAATGTTCTTTTATTAGAAATCCACCCCGGTTTCTCAGATGTATCCACATACACAGCCACCAAACCACAAACAAAATAACTAACCTGATCATTCTTTACAGCCGTCAGGTTAAAATAGCCTGCTGCTGGTTCTCTTTCTCCAAATCCAGTGTTTATTAATAAGCCTAAACAGATCTGAGGTAGTCATGGTCACACATAGCAGCGCAGTGAGTGTGAGGGAGGAAGGAGGTCAGCTCAGCTGTCTTTTTTAACCCTCCCCTCCACTAAGAGTTCATCTGCACCCCTTCTCCTGCTCAGTCTCCAAAAGCTCAGCTTGCTTTTGTCATCTTAACCACAACTTGTTCAAACTCCTTCCATATGTTCAACATCACTCGGGACTCAATCCACTGAAAGATAATCTTCGATATATGCTGACTGTAAGTACAGATGTATTGCATTTAATATTTGATGGTTTCTGTTTCTTATTTTAACCAAATTAGAATTTTTTGATGCTATGATATGTTTCTAAAACTGCCAAGACTTCTATTAAAAAATAAAAATAAAAGTTAATTTCTAACAACTTTGTAAACAGTGAATTCTGGTCTTTTATCTCCCAAAAAGTTGAAATGTTTCGATTTATGTTTGCTTCAGATGTAGGTCAACAGTCATTTTGGTGACCGATGTTTTCATAAGCTCAGGAGACAAAGCTTAAATGCAAGCCAGAAGCAGCTGGAAAACATCATCATGTCAACGCTGCAACACTAACTTTAGTCTAAATCACATTACTGATCAGATTTAACCAACAATCTCTTTAAGATGATAAAATAAAAAACCCAAGTAAAGTTTATATACCCATCCATAAATAACCATGATCTTGATGATGCCACTTGCTAAAGCTTGAGAGCTTCAAAACCATCTGTCTGGGTTTATGTCGTTGGTGTTTATATGTGAATTCATGAACTGGCCAGCTGAGGCGTGTCCAGACATTCCCAAAATCTTTGAGTGCCTGGACATCTGCCCCTGAAGGGACAGCTGTCCGTGGCATGCCATTTGTCAAACTGGTTTTCTGCATGGATCCACAAGTCCCAGTGGCATCCCAGTTTACAGTGCCTCGCCATAATATTAACCTAGCACATCCATTGATATGTCTTCACGCCATTGGAGAGATCTTGGAAGGTTTGAAAGTTAAGCTCATTAGGAAGTAATAAACATTTCCATTGCGCCCAACCAATCTAAAACATGGATCAATGAAAAATCAGGTGAGCAATAGTGATTACTCTATAAATATAAAAACAAAAGTCTAAAAGCCCTCTCTAAAAACTGAGATGTCTTCCATCCATCTTTGTGTTATGTCAACAAGCAATAAGGCAGTAAGGGATTTAAAGTCAATTTCTCGCTGTTGCATTTATGAGTCACCAAGTGATGCAATCCCTTCAGAGTTAGACATAAAAAATGTAGTTGACCTTTTTTGTATCAGTATTTACGTTTCCTCCTTGTGGTTTTATATCACCTCTCCTGTAGATCTCATGGTGGTTTCATTCATGAAATCTCATTTCTGCACAGGATACGGCAGAGACGTCTTTGTGGTTTAACAGTGCTTTCCTTGGTTTCATTGTACAGTAAACTGCCTCAGCAGTACATTCTCCTTCAAGTAAAACCTGCAAACTGGTCCACAATTGGCTTTTTTGTCAAAAATGGTTTTGCAGCCTTTCTTGACATAAAAAGACAGAAATAAATTGTTCCAAAACTGCCTTTTCTTTGATAATGCTATAAGACTCGACTGAATGATTCAGAACAGCCAAGTTGCCAAACATCTGCTCATACAGACGTATGCTCACTTTCTGATTGTGAGTTAGTGTATTTCACCATTAGTGCCTGACCCTTTGGAGTCAAATAGTTGTAGAAGGATATTTTGGCCAAGGTGGCTCACAAAATACCATCATGATGTGACGTACTATCTGGTAAGATAAAATCCTAGGATCTCCAGAAGACCAGATGACATTCTGGCAGGACAAATCTTAGAACAAACAAATTACTGTAGGAGGGCTTTTGTCACGTTGTTCTTTTATTAACAGGTATGTATATCACACAGAGCTACAGCTTCTGACAAGAAAGACGTCACATAGCATTACACCACAGCTTTCACTTTGTGGTTGAAACATATCTTTTCCTTTTTTTTTTAAAGAATGCTGTAGATCTAAGGGAGTTACCAACACCAGAACTGGGTACATCCTATCCTAGCCAATGGAGGACCAAGAGGAAGACATCTCCACCACCTGTGTAGGGCCTCTTTTCATCAGAGAAGAAAAAGCAGACACAGATAGAACCATTGTGGAACAGAGTGATGGCAACCAAAACCCTGCAGCGCAAAGCTTCACTGGAAAACCACTTCATCAACCAGCTCTGTCAGAGCCATACCTTCAGGAGATGGACGTCTTACTGAAAAGCTGTGAGAAGCTTACAGGTATTCCTTTTAGATCACGCCACATTGAGGGTTACTCTGAAACGAGTCTGAGTAAGTCTGGTTGCATAAAAGGCAAAGAGAAGTCCAGAACAGAAACCCATGAAGAAGCATGTATGTCTACCCAAGCTAGTCGCTCCTCTTTCTACATCGACACACAAATGGATGCGACTGAAACAGAAGATGAACTAGCAGAAAGCCAAAACCTTGGCACAGTCATCCACAAGCCTGGGAGTTCTTGCCACTCAGATATGCCGCTTTCCTCAGCAGGCAGCGAGCTGAGCGCCAGCATGTTGGAGTATGAGGACCAGCTGTTGAGGATGTTGGCCATGCTCGAAAGCTGTATGGAAGAGACTGGCATGGACTTTGAGTCACAGGAACAGACTACGGATGCATGTCATGAATATATGCACATCAAAAATACTCCTTACCATTACATGGACAAAGCATTGACTCTGGATGCACTTGAGAGCCCAGCATTGCCACCCATGCATAATGGTTCTAATGTGGAAGGAGATAAAGCTTCAGAAGATGGTGGGATTGAAGAAGCAATGGACTCAGCAGGAAAAGAAAACTCACAAAATAATATGGTTGATTATTTAAAGCAGCGACCAGAAGGTCATCTTGTAGTAGGACATGATGTCCAGAACCCTGACCTTATGATTTCAGAGCTGGAAGAGGCCGAGGATCAATCAAATCAAGAAACAATGACATGTAAGGGAATAAACATAGGGCATATACCTAATGAAGAACCAGAAAATATGGCAGACACTGCAGGGATAGGCACAGATGATGTTAGTTTAGCAGCTGAAAGGAAACCTGTATCAAAAGCAGACCTTGAGTCAGACATGACCAAACTAAGCTCTCAGATGGACGACTGCATAGAGGAGGTGCAGCGGTTAGAGAAAAGGAGAAAAGAGCTTCTGCTGGAGGTGCTGCAGCTGAGAGGACCGAAAATCAAGGACGATGTGGAAAGGGGAGGCAAGGATGAAGAGGAGATGGAGGAGTGGATAGACACCACAGCCTTGGAGCTGATCACAGTTCTTAAGAAGGAAGAAGAGGCGAGGCGAGAGGAGAGAAAGAAGGAGATTCACAGCCTGAGGGAGGAGAGGGCAGATGAAGAGAGGAAAACATGGAAGGTGAACTTGGAGAGACAAGGACTACAAGATGAGCTTAGAAGGCTGAGGAGGTGGCTGTTTGCAGCAGTAAGGGAGTGTGCCCAGAGTCAAGCCACCCTAAATAATCAGCGCTGTGATTTTGAGTTACTGAGGACAGAAGAGGTAAGACTCCAACTAGGAGCTGTAGCATCATCACTTTTTTAAGGAATCAAGTTTCTGAAATGTTTTCTTTTACATTTCAGGAGAAGCTAAACTCTCTGGTTCTGCAGCTGGCAGAGGAGAGCTGCCAACTCAGATCAGCACATCAGGAACAGCTATTGGAGCTAAATGCAAAGCTTCACCACCAAACCCCCGGAGAGACAGCCAACGCCCAGGAGGAGCTGACCGAGTGTAGGAAGAATTCCTGCGGGGATGTTCAGCAATATGTGCAGGGTGGATTAAAAGCACTGGAGGACAGGTACTGTCTCTTTAATAAAACGGTGTGTGTGCATGTAATACCACATGCAAAATATATTTTTTGCCATGGGGAAACTTGAAATTGTGATATTTTGAGTGCATTTCAAGTGTGGGTTTCAAGGACAGTGAATGTCCATCCGAATCATAGTGTCCTTCCAAATGCTTCATCCACACAGCCGGGTACGATTTATACTGTGTATATTGATAACATACTGATAATATAGGGGTGATATATATATATATATTTCCCAGGTATGAACCCATTTTGGTTGCACTGCTGAAAAGGAAAGAGGCAACGGCCGATGCACTGACGAAATCCAAAAATCAGTCCCATGAGCTGAAGGTCCAGGTGAAACCTCTGATGGATGAGATTCAGAAACTGGAACTGGAGAGGACTTGTTTAGAGGAGAGACTTAAACTGACCCACATGCAGAGGCAGGAAGATGCAAGTCGCTACAAGGTTAGCAAACAGTGCTTTCTGAGTGTCAATGGTAAATGTTAAAGCCATTGCTCTTCTAGTTGGACTAATGATCTACTCTGTTTTAGGAAGCTATACATTTTCTGGAGGAGAGCATCCGTGAGCTGAGAACTGAGTTAGAGATTCAGAAGAGAAAAACCAAGGATATGGAAGAAATGAGAGAAAGCCTCACCAAACAACTTCTGCTTTACAGGTAGTTTAAGATGTTTCTGCCAGTTTTACATTAATAATGTAACGATTTACGACTTTTGGTTTTCTTTAGGATTGCCTCTGAGGACCACAACAGCTGTGAGCAAGATAAGACATGATGACGCCTTTCTTCTCAGTTGAAAAACAGCCTTGTTATGAATATGTGTTTTGATTTTTTTTTTTATTATCTGCAGAAAACAGTCAGCTCCAAAGATTTCGAAAATGCACTTTACCCGATTTGTTTGTCTGTAACGTAGGCTGCACGATGTAGAAAGGTTTCTGTTGCAAATAAAGGTCTGGTTTTTCTTACAGTGATGAGTGCGACTGGTGACTTAATGTCTGTCTCTAAAGAACAGAGCCCGTTTCTTCTACTTATAAGGCAAATGTTTCTGAAGAAGTAAACAATGCTGTACAATTTAATCAAGTGGGTGAGCTCAGGAAACAGAAGAGCACCAATATGTCACAACACACACTCATCTCACAGAAGCAGTAACGAATCTTAAGCCCTTCAATGTTAAAAGAAAGA